GGGGGGGGGGGGGGGGGGGGGGGGGGGGGGGGGCCCCCCCCCCCCCCCTCCTCTCCCCCCCCCCCCACGTGAGCCATGGGTCAATCTGCTCCCAGCTCCCCCTTCCATGCCTGGGAGCCATGGGTAATCTGTGCTCCCTGTTGCCCCCTCCCTTCTAGGGTGATCAGATGTCCCGATTTTATAGGGACAGTCCCGATTTTTGGGTCTTTTTCTTATATAGGCTCCTATTACCCCCCACCCCCGTCCCGATTTTTCACACTTGCTGTCTGGTCACCCTACTCCCTTCCCACCCCCAGCCTGGGAAAGGGGAGGTGAAGAGCCCCTGAGGCTAGGACAGGTCTGGGGTGGGAGGGCACAGAATGAATGAATGAATGAAGATGCTGGGTTTGAGGAGGGGCTGGAAGCTCGGCGCCATCCGGCAGCCCCAGAGCCCTGCAGGGGAGTCTGAAGCACCTGGCTCTGGGCATGGGGATAGCTGGCAGCACTGGGGCTGCCCCACACGTGCTGGTGGGGGGTGTATGTGTCAAAGCTCAAAAACAACAGACCAAGCACCAGTCTGATGTGAAAAATCTCTCACCATTTTTGGGACCAATCTCCTGCTATTTTGGCGTCTGACTCACGATTTCTGTCTGTCTGAGGCTGGCCATCCTGGGAGCATGGGGTGGTCGATGGGGTGCAGGGGAAACGGGCTGAGCTCTGATTTTGCCTCACAGCAGCCCCACAGGGAGATGGAGCCCCTCTGCACATGCACAGGGTGTGGGGGGAGGGGTGAGCTCAGGGTGGGCTTGAGGGGCGAGCAGCCCTGCACCACCCTGCTCAGCTAGGGGGATGGGGGAGAGGGGGGACGCACACAGCACAGGGGTGGAGACAGGTCTGTTGCCAAAGCTGACACTCTCCCCAGCCTCACCCACCCTGGTTTAAAAGGGGGTGGTGGTTCAGGCCCTACTGTAGGACCTGGGAGCCCTGCGTTCAATCCCAGCTTTGCTGCAGACCCTTGTGTGACCTTGGTCCAGTCACCTGGCCTCTCCCTGGCTCTGTTCCCAGCTGCCCCTGGGAATACCAGCCCTGCCCCTCCGCATGGAGGGAGAGGGTTACTACCTGCCCAGTATTTGGCTGGATTTTTTTTATGGATTTGCTGGTTGCCAGAAAAATAACAATCTGCCGGGTTTTTTTGTTTTAACATGAGTCTAAAGATTTGCATTACTGTCCCAATGCACTGGGATCGCTAATGTTAAACATTTCTGTGTTCCCACTTCTGCAGTTTAAGCAATAACAGATTAAAACTGTTGAAAATACAGCAGCTGTCTGCCCCCAACACGCAAGCGCCCCGTGCGGGTGTATAAGAAGGTTTGAGTCACGTGAGTGTGAGGAGCTGTGTCATGTTCTCAATCTTATAGTACCTACAGAGAGAACACATCTAGATAAGTGGCTGGTGGTGGGGGGAGTGGGGGTTTTGCAGAGTTGCCTTGTGGTTGGGGGCTGGGGTTGCAGTGGGCTTCCCTTATGGAGGGGGGGGGGGCAGTGGCTTTTTTTTGCATTTCAAAGGTGGTTACCCTAGGGGGTGCGGACAGAGAGATCAGAGTGTGAGGGGCTTTGAGCCTTGTGGAGAAAGTAACAACCCCCAGCTGCAAGGTGAGGCCTAACGGCTACGCGCCAGTGATACAGGCTGCCCAGGACTGTTGCACAGCAGTGAATGAGCGGCACTGATCGGGGGATGGGGACTGAGGGCAGGGTGGGGAATACGAGGGAGTCAGAGACGCAGGAGGAGAATTGGGGGGTGCCAGGGAATAGGGGGCACACAAGAGGGGAAAGCCTGAGGCTACTGCAAAGGGAGCAGGAGGGGGCAGGGGAGTGTGGGGGCACAGAGGAGGGGAGACCCCCTCCCTTTCAGGGACACTAGGGTCCCTGTGGTGTTCCCCTCCCCACTGCTACGTGGGCTGGGGAAGGAACCTGCAGGGCGGTACACCAGGGAAGGAGCAGGGGCTGCCGGGCACTGGGGATGCCAGGGGGCTGCTCTCTGCCCTGGTGGCTCTGGCCATCTCCTCCCCTTGCTGAGTGGCTGTTTGCTCCCACCCCTCCGTGCACCTTCTCCTCCAGTGAACCTCACCCTGGCATCACCCACCCACGGGTGCTAAAATCACAAACCAGAGCTAGATTAACCCTAGCGCAGCCCTGCCCCATGTCTGCCTGCTCCAGTCAGGGTGTGAGTGCGGCAGGGCAGGAGCTGTCTCCCTGTGTCTGTGCAGCTCCCAGCACGCTGCCCCACTGCACTGCCCTAATAAACAGGATACATAAAAAAACGTACAAGGGGCAGGAGGCTGGGGGCGGGGGCAGGGAGGGGAGAGGCAGGGCAACAGTAGTGGAGGGGGATTGAATAGCAGCTCCTCCCCCC